CGCAAAGCTCTTAAACGTTCAGTCCCCAAGATCCTAGAGGAGGGGGGGGCTCCCGAAATCAAAGCAAACACGGCATCTCCGGGGAACGGAGGACTTCCGACAAAGAGGATCGCAAAAGATCACAAAGACGCCGGCCACACGGGCTGGGCCTCGCCGGGTCTGTCCCGGGCAGGGCAGGACGCCGTTCACAGAACAAGGGGAGCAGGAAGAAATTCCCAGGCAGGGCGTCGGACACTCCTGAGCTGCAGGACAGCCGGTGGAGAGACACAGAGGGACAAGGAAGAAGATACTCCGTTTAGGAAGCTTGCTGCCTGCTTCGCTGGTGAGCGAGCAGCAGAACACCATCCAGGGTCCTGGAGCGGCAATCGCCCAGGTGACCGAGGGCGTGAGCGGCCGGGCGTGACTTTCTTTGGAGACAGCAGATCCAGGAACGGAGGCTGGAAAGTTCCAGGTTGAAAATCCAGAGCTCGGTGGACGCCGGGGCACAGAAACCATCTTAGGTTCAAGAGGGGCAAGAGGGACCCATTTGAGAAAAGGGATGGCAGAGGCTCTGCCTGGTCATCCGGCCTCACCGGGGCTGGTGCAGGACACTGTCTGGGGCCCAGGCCCAGCCGCAGAAACACCTGCATCCAGTGGCACCGGGAGGCGTCAGGAGTCGAGCTGCAGACATTGGCACCATGTCTAGGGATGTCAGGGCAGCAGCCGAGGTCATGTGACCCGGTGCACACCCCTCCTTTCCCAGGCTTTGTACTACAGACTGCAGATAGGGTCCTGCCTGGGCCCTGGGGCCAGAGACAGCCAGGGCCTGGTGACAGAGAGGCAGCCCAGCGGGCATGTAAAGAAGGCAGCGCAATGTAAGATCTAGGACTTGAGCCCTGGCCTTTCTCTCTCCAAAGCCCATGCTCCCTACTGTTAGCTACACAGTGCTCGATGGCTAAGTCCTCTGCACAGAGTGCTGATGGCTAAGTCCTTCACACTGGGTGCTGATTGCTAAGTCCTCCAACACAGAGTGCTGGTGGCTAAGTCCTCCACACAGAGTGCTGATGGCTAAGTCCTCCACACAGGGCAGACAAAGGGCACACATGTAGAAGCAGCGAGGGGACCAGTGTGCCAGTTACCAGTCCCTCTGGGACTTGGGGGAAGTCCCAGCACCGAGGTAAAGGGCAGGCAGAGAGCACGCACCTACTAATATAACAGCCACACACCATCTTGGGGCCGAGAATGGGGGTCGGGGTGTATATCAAGGAGAAAAAGCGCTGAGTGATTTGCCACACACGGTAAGTCAGCCTCACCGTGTTTCTGTCCCGGTGATCCCAGGAGAAACGGTTGTCTATGCAGCCGCGTCCTGAAGGGGCTGGGGCTCCGGCCACTTCCCCCCCTCAGTCCCTGCTGCCCAGAGCTGCCCGACGGTCTCCTTGGGAACATCACCGGTCGGCACAGTTATGCCGAAATCAGGACATCCTCCCCTCCCCACTCTGTCACACGCCCACACAGGTCAGCTCCGGGCGGGCGCTCTCGGCTGAAGGTCGGGTGGGCGTGTGCTCAGGACAGAGAGAACAGGACAGGGCAGAGAGAACAGGACAGGGCAGAGAGAACAGGACAGGACAGAGAGAACTGAACAGGACAGAGAGAACTGCTCAGGACAGAGAGAACTGGACAAGGCAGCCAGAGCTTTGGGGGGGCGGGGAGAGTAAAAATCTGAACACCAGGGAGACCCCCCCCCCGCAACAACTCTAAGGGATTTTTAAATGCATTATTGCAGCTGCCGGAACCTTACGTGACATATTCTTGGAAATAAGTGGGCCATAGGCTAATGCTGAGAACCCTTGTGCAATGAAGATATCCAGGTTGCAGTGTAACTGTCGTGACAGCGTCTGACCTGAATAGGAGGAGAAACTAAACAGCTTCCTCAGCAAAAGCGCCTGAGGCGCCAAATCCCCCAGGCAACAAGTGCCCCCTCTCCTTCCTCCCTCTCTCCTCCCTCCCTCCCTCCCTCTCTCTCTCTCTCTCTGTAACGTAAGTACGAAGACCCCCACCCCTTCCACGAAAACTTCCTACTATGAAAGCAAGACAACACACGCCTGGGATGTATTGAGAAGTGCCTGGAATCTGGAGTCAAAGGGGTCCCAGGCCGAGTCCGGGGCGCCCCACAAACAGCTCTGTGACCAGGAGGGAACCCCACTCTGACGTCCAGGCCTCAGCGTTCCCACCTATGAAATGGGCGCAGCAGAGCCCGAGCTGCGGTCATGGTGAGGAGTGAGGGCGTATTGGCCAGAGCAGACAGAGTCCTCGGCACCCAGGAAGTTCTTGGCCACGATGAGCCTTTCCCTCTCCTGGGGCCAGCTTTTTTTTTTAGCACAATGTCCTACACACCCAAATAACTTTTTAAAAAACCACCTCAGACAGACTCCTGGAGGGGGACTCCCAGGGCCCCGCGGCGTGCGTGCCGCTCCTGCTGCGCACAGCAAGGCCGCCCAGGGCTGGCACCTGCAGGGCACCGGGACGAAAGGTGACAGCGTGGTAGGCGGTGCTCTGGGGACCGGGGAGTGCTCTGCAGGTGAAAGAAAACACCAGCATCTCCGTGCGGCTCGTCAGCACTAGGTAAGGTGACCCCAGAACTCGGAGACCCGGCCGGGGCACGAGACACCCAAGAAGAGAGACGCCCCTGGGAAGGAAGCCGTGAGCCAGGGGCAGGGGCAGCGTGCGTTCAGCCGGGTGGGTGGATGCGGCCCCGAATGGGACGGAAGCGACGAGTCCAGCCGCAGTGGGGATCCATTCTGAAACTGACCACGCTGGGCCGGGGCGCACAGAGCCTGGAGCGAGGGGGGACCTCGCATGTGGAGGGAACAGAGACTGGCCCGGGGCTTGTGGTCCCCCCATCCCCGGCTCCAGGAAGGCCCGGGAGACGGCAGGTGCGAGTGTTCCAGCCCCCAGAGAGGTGGGCTGCCGTGCGGGACAGACACCCAGCCTTCCCGGAAGAGAGTGGTGGCCGCCTCCTCGTGCCCCTCTGACCCCATTATCGCCGCCACCAGTGACAACAAGAATTCCTATCGCTGTTAGTGACCACCACGGCTGAACTCTGACTGTATCCTGGGCCTCCAATCATTCAACCCTGACCGCACCCCGTCCCTAAAACAAGCCCTTTTCGGACGCCCGTTCGATGGATCAGCAGCTAGCGATCCCCAGTATCCGTCGGGAAAACCCTTATCCTTAAGAATCCTTAATTCAACCTGGCTGGCGTAGCTCAGTGGATTGAGCGCGGGCTGCGAACCAAAGTGTTGCAGGTTCGATTCCCAGTCAGGGCACATGCCTGGGTTGCAGGCCACGGCCCCCAGCAACCGCACACTGATGTTTCTCTCTCTCTCTCTATCTCCCTCCCTTCCCTCTCTAAAAACAAATAAATAAAATCTTTAAAAGCTCCTTTAGAGGGGACACACAGCTCCCCGCCTGCGCTGTCCCCACCTCGGACGCCACGCCACGGCATGGAGCTCTGGGACCCTTGTGTGACCCCGTGTGAAAAGGGACACTCTCCTCGGAGGTCAGAAGCTTCTTCCCCTGGGAGACGTGACCCTGAAGCTCGGATCCCCAATAAAATAAACACCCGGAACGTCTGGCCCAAGGCCGCCCCTCTGGCCGTGGCCGCGCGCCCGGCTGCAGAGCACGCACGCCAGCAGACTCCGGCCACGGAGGCTCGGGGAGGACAGGGGCCTAGCGGCATAACGCGCCCGTTCACAGGGAGGTCTCGGTCCCCCGCGGCTAACACGCCGGCCGAGAGGAGAAGACGTTCAGTGTGCTATTTGCAGGGGGAGGAGAGAACGTTCAGCACAAAGCAGGGGTGCCCACAACTGATCAATACCGAGGTACGTGTGTATACATCTATACATGTACCTATATACACGTGTCGGGCACTCATTATGTGCTTGGGGAAATGCAGAGGCCCTGGGGCAAGGCCAGGACCCCCGCTCCCCGCCCCTTCCTGGGGGTGCCCCTCAGACGCTCCACCCCTGCCTGCGGGGCCCCACCCAGCCCGCCGCCCTTCCCTTTTCGGAAACCACGTGCCTCCACCAGGCAACTCTCAAGTGACCAAAAGGAGGACTCATCTGAAAATCCTCCCTCGGTTTTCCTCCCAGACACAACCGGCCCGTCCTCCCCGGGTCCAGTAGCACATCTGCTCTGGGGGAACGTCCCCGGTGGGTGCCCACGACGGCCGCCGTCCCCACAGAAGAGTTGGCCAGGCAGCAGGCACCGCCGTGGGTGCGGTCGGTTGGCATTGCCCCCAGTCGCCCCAGGGTGCCTGCCTTTCACCCCAGGGAAGGGGGCCCTCCCACAGAAGCCCAGAGGCTTCAGCCCGGAGCTGGGTGCGGAGAGGAGGCACTGAGTCCCCGAGATTCTGCCCCACAGGCCCAGCCAGAGCCCGTCCACCCTCAGACATGGCGGCTGAGGGAGGGGGGAGGGGAGGGAGGCAGAGACAGCCCTCCCACCCGGGCCATGTGACCGCCCAGGCCATGCGACTGGCAGTGTGTCCCACAGAAAGCTGTGTGACCCTACACGCAGGTGTCCCCCCTTCTCTGGGCCTTTTTCCGAGGAACCCGGAACCTGCGCGGACACAGCGTCTGGTCCGGCCCTGCTCCCCGTCCTGTAACTGCCCCCCACCTGGCACACACACCCACCCGGACCCACAGACAGTCTCAGAAGCGCCGATTCGCACTTCTGAGCAAAATTCCCTATCAGGCACATTCCCATAAGATGCCAAACTTTTCATGAAAAATGAACAAACTTGGGAGTCCCAACCCCTTCCTGATAATCCCTGGTCCTAAGATTCCTTCTGACGGGAGCCTTCAGAGAACATCAAGTCCCAAACCCTCATCTTAAGGGGCAAACGCTGAGGCCCAGAGACGTGGAGGGGCGTGCCCCAGGGCGCACAGCCTCACTGCCGGGACCCTCCCTCGCCGTGGGCCCGCCGCCTCCCCGCCTGCGGCCCAGGACCCAGCTCTGCTCACATGTAGCGCAGGTGGGGGTTCTTGGCGAAGGCTCTGGGCTGGATGCTCCGAAGTCCTGAGTTCTTGATGGTCCTGGGGGAGGGAAAAAGGGGTCAGCGGAGCTGGCCGGGCAGAGGGACACCTGCCCCGGGCTGAGGGTGACAGGGGCCAGGCCAAGGCTGGACCTGCAGCCGCCCCTGCGAGCCGTGCTCATTCCTCCACCATCCACACCGGGGGCGGGGGGGTCCGGTGGCAGGGGGTGGCAGGGGGAGGGCAAGCGAGGGGAGTCTGGGCTCACACCCCATGGGACCTGGGGACAGTTCGGGATGGGGGCGGCCAGTGCGGGTGGCTGTCCTCGCCCAGACAGGCAGGTGCGTGAGAACGGGCTCCCCCTTGGCGCCTCCACCCCCCGACCCCAGGCCCCCCACCGCCACTGAAGTCCCCAGGGGGCATCGGCTGGGAGCTCCACACTCCAGGCAGAGGGTGGGGAGAGAGCACTAGCCCGGAGACCTGGGAGCGGGTCCTGCCCTGAACCCGGACTGCAGGCCCAGGTTCCACGCAAGCCCTCACCTCTCCGGCCCCAGATGAGACGGGGGCGTGAAGGGCTGGCTGCCCCCCCGCAGCCCCTGAGGTTCCCTAAGAGGGCGGTGCCCTCTCTGCGGATAGACACCCCCTCCACCGCCCAGAGGCCCCTCCCGGCACCCACACTCACAGCTTCTGCAGGCCGGTGTAGAGCTCCATGTCCACGGCATTGAGCGTGTGCAGGCCCCGCCAGTTCTCGATGTGTCTGCGGGAGGGAAGGCAGGCGCCGGTCAGCAGGGGGCACCGGCGGGGGTGCGGGCTGGGGGCTGGAACCCTGGACAAGCCCCACGCGGGCCGGGCCTGCACCACGTTGGCAAACACCTCTGAGCCTGCTTCCTCCTCTGCTCGGGGACAGGCACCCCACTGCCGGCCAAGGGATCATCGTGAGGTCCCCCTCCCCCCACCGGGGCAGCACGGACGACCCCCTCGGCTCCAGGGAGACTGGAAACCCAACCCCTGTTGACCTCTGTGACTCTGTCCCCTTCTGTTCCCTCTCCTTTTTTTTTTTTTTTTAGCATTTCCTAAGGACAAGCTCCTTTTCTCAGTTCCTGCCCACAAAGACCATACAAATCGGGCATCTAAAACACGGGTGGGGGAGGGGGCGGTGGCCCTGACTGGTGTGGCTCAGTGGGTTGGGCATCGTCCCGCAAAGCGACAGGTCACAGACTGGATCTCCAGCGGGGCACATACATGCCTGGGTTGTAGGTTCGGTGCCTGGTTGGGGCGCGTACAAAAGGCAACCCGATCGATGTTTCTCTCCTTCTCTTTCTCCCTCCCTTCCCCTCTCTCTCAAAATAGATAAATAAAAATCTTTGTTTAAAAAAAAGGGAGAATGGTTTTGGGTGGAAAAGCCCAGGAGGAATACACCCCCGCCCCCGCCTCGGGGGTCCCCAGGGTCCAGACACTGACGGCCCTGTCGGGCGACCACAGTCCGGCCTGTCCAGAGCCAGGGAGGCCAGGGCTCGATCTGGCAACGCTGGCTCCACAAAGGAGGGGACGACCGAGGGACCAGGGAGGCACCGGGCTGCCGTGGAAAGAAGCTGAGACCGGTACCCAAGGAGCCTGATTCCGGCCTCGTCGCTGAGACGTGGGCGGCCAGTGGCGTCCAGCAGGGGCCCCCACCTCCCCGGCCTCCTGGGTGTCCAGGGGCAAAGGGAAAGGCTCCCCCTGCCCCATCCACGGCCTCCCTCCTCCTCACAAGAAGCCTCTCCTTTTAGGACGCTCTCCCCAGAGACCTCCCGTTTGGGGAGGTTTGCGTCGAGCCAGCCACGTTTATTTATTAAGCCGTAACGAATTCGTCTCCTCGGATGCGTCCACCAAAGACGTAAGTCACCATTAGCCAGAACTTTGCATCAACGAATGCAATCCAGCGCTAACCCACCCAGGGGATGGTTCCAGCCCAAAGCGAAGGGACTAGAAAGTTCTGCAAGCAGGGGTCTGGGTCTGGGTTCTGTGCGTTTGGGCGGGGGCGGGGGAGGGTTGATACTGCAATCCCAAGGAGCTCTAGGTGCCTCTGGGGTCGGGGAGAGAGCCACGGCCGACCGGCCTCCTTGGGTCCGCCCCTCCCACCAGCGGCCCCAGGGTCAAAGCACCCTCTCAGAGAGGAGTGCAGAGGGGTGACCTCTCACCCTGAGACACTCAGGCCAGAGAAGTGGCAGCCACCTTCTCCAGACGTCCCCTCCCTGGCCACCCCCCTACCCACGGCTCTGCCATCTGCCACTGAGTGCAGCCAGAGCCAGAAAGGCCGCAGGATGGCAGGGGCCGGGGGCTCGGGAAGCGCCTCAGAGCCGCACGGTGACAAGGGACGCTGAGAGCCCGTTTTGTTCCACGTTCTCTCGGGGCCCCCGCGGAGCAGCCAGACACACTGGCATCTGCTGGGGACGTGGGCCAGGTGGCCAGCTCGGTATTAACTTCCACGGCCAAAGCCTGTTGTTGGAAGCCTCACGGCCACCAGCAGTCTACTTGGTCCGGCGCCACCAGGGCAGGGACCCTAGCTCCGTGTCAGGGGCAGAGGGAGGCCGGACACAGAACCGCCTGTCAGCCCCTGACCCCGCCCCCCAAACCAGTGCATGCATGTGAACTGCCAGGCAGGCCGCAGGGTCCCCTCCGACGACCATTCCTTCGCCCACGCGGCCCACTCCCAGCAAGCAGCCGGCTGTCCGTCCGTGGTTCGGACAAGTGAGATCACTCCCTTAGCCCACATGAGAACTCCATAGCTGTGACTGGGTCACCGCTCACCCGAACTGCATTCCAACCTTCTCCCCAGTCAGCCCGCAAGCCCCTCCACCCACACAGCGACTCTTCCCAGACACGGGCACTCGGGAGACCCGGCAGGCAGCCAGCCAATGGGCTGCGTGCTGCCAAGGACCCCCTGGGGCCCTGCTTCCTCCCGAGGAACGAACTTCAGCGCGCCTGCCTGTCCATTTCCTGCACCACGTGACGCAGAGACCTGGGCCCTCTGGCCTTGGACAGAAACAGGTGCCGACTCCGGCCCAGAGCCAGGCTGCCAGGATGCACACAGGCCCCCGTCCAGGTTACTTCACCTGCCTGTGCCTCCATGTCCTCATCTGTCCACCAGCGATAACAAAATACCCTCCAAAGTAAGACTGGCGTGAGGCCGGGCAGACGAGGTTACAGTAAGTGCTCAGGGAGGGCCGGCCTGCGGGTCACTCCGAACCCGGCGCCTTGCAGACGCGGAGCTGTCCGCCCTGTTTTCAGGCTGCACGTGGCATCATGGCTTGAGCGGAAGCTGCCGCCGTTTCCCCTGGATCACTAATAAACACTCCGTGTGGCAGAAGGGCGGAGGGGCCAAGAGCTGCCACTCCTGGCCTCCGGGAGAGGCAGAAATCACTAACGGGTGCAGGGGTGCACAGTCGGCGGCCCGGGGCAAGTTTCAAGGGACGCGCGCAGGGCGGGAAGGTGCAGCCTGGCATTGGCGATGGCGCCGGCGGGGCGCCTGCCAAGTCCGCCGGTGACTCACCCCGGGGGTCAGTTGCAGTCCCTCTGCGGGGTGCGCTGTGCCGGGAGGGAGGCCAGCGGGTTACCTAGAAAGGGCAGGCTCGGAAAATGTCAGAACTCGCCGAGCCACAGCGAGAGCAGGGCTGGGGTGCTTTTGTTCGTGCTAAACGGCCGAGTGCGATGGCAAGGCGCCTGCTCCTCGTTTGGTGCTGCTCCAGGTTGTCCAGATTGTCTTCGCCAAACATTTATTTTGTCATTTTGGAAAAAACGATCGATAACAATCATTTTAAAGCAAAGCAAGGCGTCTGAACCCTGCGCTCCGGGGCCAGGCTGGACCAGCCGGTCCCTGCGGAGGCCCCTCGGGAGCACGCCCGCCTGTGAGAGGAGGGACTCAGCGCGGAGCGCTGCCGCAGGGCCTGCCGGGAGCGCTGCGGCGGGAACCGCGAGAGCGCGCACTGGTCCGCCAGCCTGGGTCTCAGGCGGCCTGTGGTGTGGGGCGGGGAGGGGCGGAGAGAAGGCTGAGAGATGGGCCCCAGGCACCCACCTAAGTAAATCACCTACACTTTAGATTTTATTTATTTATTTATTTTAGAGAGAGGGGAAGGAAGAAGAAAACAAGGGAGAGAAACATCAATGTGTGGTTGCCTCTCATGCGCCCCCTACTGGAGACCTGGCCCGCACCCCAGGCATGTGCCCTGCCTGGGAATCCAACCCGCAACCCTTTGGTTCTCAGTCGAGCACTCAATCCACTGAGCCACATCAATCAGGGCAAACCAGCTCCACTTTAGTTTGATGCAGTACTTCTCAGCTGGAGGGGACGTTGCCCCCCAAGGGACATTAAGTGACATTTGGGGACGTTTTTGGTTGTTGCAACAGGGGCAAAGGGAGGGATACCAGCCTCCAGTGGGTGGAGGCCAGGGGTGCGCCTGAACATTTCAAAAATGCACAGGACAGCCCCCGCCCCCACCCCCAACAAAGAATTATCAGCCCAAAGGCCACAGCACCGAGGCCGAAAAACCCTGCATCTACGCCGAAGGCTGCACTAAAGAAAGAGTTCCGTGGCTCAAAACAGCAACAGTTTTGAAAATGACTGCTTTGCAGCGAACCCCGAGGCCCCAGGCCAAAACCAAAACGCTGGCCTCTAGGTCACTGGGTCGGGTGAGTGGAAAAAAATCCAAAGGCAGGACGGCCAGACCCTCTCGAGTCAAGGGCCTCCCCGGAGGGGAAAGGAGGGGCTCTCGCGCCCGCTGGACCACAGCCCTGTCCAGGCGACGCATTCCGGAAGCCACAATGGCCTCTTCTCACCAAGCCCCGGCTGTCGTCCGCAGGCCAAGAGCCTTCTCCCTCGGCTGCACGCCCCCTGCACGCACACAAAGGTGAGGAGCTTCGTCCGGAGGCGCAACCAGTGCCCCGTGCCGGCCCTCGCCCCACTGCCCTACCTCCACCACAGCCTCACGGCTCTGCCAGGGGCTAAGGCGCAACATCCTCCAGAGAGCTGGAGAAGTGAGGCTTAATCCGCGCCACCCCTGAGTTCCGGGCCCCAGCCGGGCCTGGCGGAGGGAAATCCTCAGTGAGGGGGAGGGGAGCCTCCGTGGTCCAAGAACTGGCGGGTGCCCGGGACACACCCAGGTGTGGCGGAGTCCAGGGGGCGCTCACACGCACAGTCTCTCCAGAAGTGGGAGAGAAACTGCCGGAGAGGGAGCCTCCCCCAGCGACGCAGGCCCGCAGCCCCGAGTCCTGGAGCAGCGCTAATAAACCCACACCCCGGGCAGATGCGCCACACCCACTTCGGGGACGGGCTGGGGCGCAGGGAAGCGTTAATTAACATGTCCCTGGGAACTAGAAAGCTCCTTTGTGCTGGGTGAATGCGGCGGGGCCTCTGGGCCCGTCTCCCTCCTCGGGGCTGTCTTGAGCCAGCATGTTAATGAACTGGCAATCTCCGAGCGCCGAAAAATTAGATGGTGCAGACGGTGTGACCCATATTTTAATTAAAAACATGTCATGTGGATATGTTTGAGTTGTTTATAACACCAATATGTAAGTTCTACTCATAGAAAACTCCAGAACACGGAGACATTTAGCCCATTCCAACACTAGGGGATGGCCCAGGAAACGGGCAGAGCACCCTACACTGGACAGAGTCTCCCTTGTCACCTGGGTGCTCGACGGGACCAGGGATCTGCAGGCGGGACAGAGGGGCTCCTTCCCACCTCCCGGAGGGCCTGCGCTGCCTCATTTCCAGCCTCT